TCTCCATTGTTGCAAGCCCTTCCCCTTTTGGCTTAAATGACTTACAGGATATTTAAAGGGCTGGAATCTTTTTTTCTCCTTCATTTTTCTCTTGTTTCCTTTTTGGGAGCCAGACATTGAAGATTAGTATATTCAAAAGCAACCACATATATGGAAGAAATTAGAAAGTCATTAAATCTGCTCAAGGAAAGTCACAGGTTGAGAAAAGCCTGAGAATACCTTAAGTTTACATTTTATGCTGATCCTTGGCACAGAGATGGCCTACAACAATAACTTTAAAAAAAAAAAAAATCCCAAACAACAACAAAAACAGCAAACCCCAGAGAAGAGAGAGATTCTGATTTCCAATTGTGAATTATTGAATTTAAATGTCCAATTTTTAGCAAAAAGTTGCAAGGCATACAAAAAACCTTTTCTATTTTAAAGAAAAAACAACAGAAAGTGTCACTGAAAAATACTTGGTGGTGGATCTACTAGACAAAGGCTTTAAAAGAACTATTGTAAAGATGCCCAAAGAACTAAAGGAAGATGTGAAGTCAAGAAAGCAATGTATGAACAAAATGGAAATATAAATAAAAAACTAGAAAATCTAAAAGTAAACAAAAAAATTCTAGAGCTGAAAACTACAATAACCGAAGTTTAAAATTAACTAGAAGAATTCACTAGAGGCATATTTGAGCAAGTTGAATAAAGAATCCATTAACCTGAAGATAAGACAGTAGAAATTATTGAACCTGAGGAACAGAAAGAAAAAACTGGAGATAAGTGAAGAGAGCCTAAGGGACCTGTGGGACACCATCAAGTGAACTAGCATACACATTGTAGGAGTCCCAGAAGAAAGAGTGAAAGAGGCAGAGAGATTATTTGAAGAAATAATGGCTATAGACTCCTCACATTTGATGAATGACATGAATATAAACATCCAAGAAGCTCAATGAACTCTCAGTAGGATGAACTCAAACAGGCTCACACTAAAACATTACAAACTGTCAAAACACAAAGACAAAGAATTTTGAAAGTAGCAAAAGAGAATAATTCATCACATACAAGAGATCCTCAGTAAGATTACCAGCAGATTCATTATTAGAAACTTTGAAGACTAGAAGGCAGTGGGGCAATATATTCAAAGTTCAAAAAGATTCATTAACCAAGAAATGCATATCCATTAAAACTGTTCTTTAGAAGTAAAGGAGAACTTCTTAGAAAACAAAAGTTGAGGTATTCATTACTACTAGATTTTCCCTATAAGAAATGCTAAAGGGAGTCCTGCAGGTTAAAATGAAATGATATTAGATAGTAACTTAAAGTCATATAAGATATAAAGACCTCAATAAAGGTAAATACATGGGCAATTATAAAGGCTGGTAATATTGTAGCAATGGTTGGTAACTCCACCTTTTATTTTCTATATAATTTGACTAATACTTTTTAAAACTTAGCTTAAAATTAGTATTATTGTAATTTTGATTTGTAATTCTATATTTTGTTCTCTACACAATTTAAGAGACTAATGAGTTAAAGGTAATATTAGTTTATGTTTTGGGACACACCATTTATAAGTATGCAACTTTGTGACATTCATAGCTAAGAGAATTGGGGACACAGTTGTTAAAAGAGCAGAGTTTGTATATGTTATTGAAGTTAAACTGGTATAAGTTCAAGTTAGATTTATAATTTTAAGATGTTAAATGCAATCCTCATGGTAACTACAACAAAGACTCCTAAAGAGTAAACACAAAAGGAAATGAAAAAGGGATTCAAACATTTCATTAGCAAAAAATCAACTGAGGCCAAACTCGGTGGCTCAGTCTGTAATCCCAGCACTTTGGGAGGCTGAGGCAAGTTGGATTGCCTGAGCCTGCGGATTCAGGGAAACCTGGTGAGACCTCATCTCTACAATAAAATAAAATAAATAGCCGGGTGTGGTAACGCACGTCTGTAGCTCCAGCTATGCGGAAGGCTGAGATGGAAGGATCGCTGGAGCCCAGAAGGTCGACACTGGGATGGCCATGAGCGTGATGCCACTGCACTCCAGCCTGGGCAAAGGAGTGAGACTCCAACTCAAAAAAAAAAAAAAAAAACTCAGCGCAAAACAGGACAGTAATTCAAGAAATGAGAGACAAAAAAATCTATAAAGTACATAGAATACAAATGCAAAATGGTAGAAGTTCCTCTTTTTCAGTAACCACTTTTTTCTTTTTTTTTTTGAGCTGGAGTCTCACTCTGTCGCCCAGACTGGAGTTCAGTGGCCACTCCCGGCCACCGCAGCCTCG